CCCCCTTTTCCCCCCCCCAATTTCCTCACCCCTCCTCCCGCTCCGGCCCCTCCGCCTGCTCCCCCCGGCCCGCCGGGCCCGTGAGGCGGCGGCTCCGCGCCGTCGGTTTTCTGGCGCTTAGGAGCCCTGCCGCCATCGCCGCCGCCGCCGCCGCCGTAGTAGCGCCCCGAGCCGCCGCCGCCGCCGCCGCCCGCCGCCATCTTCCCCATGTCGGCGCCGCGCCCGCCGCCCTCGGCGCCCTGAGGGCCGCGCCACCGCCGCCGCGACATGGCGCCCTCTCACCGCCGCCCCGCCCACGACACGCCCCCATTGGCCCGCCCACACGTCAATCAAGCAGGGCGGAGCGCCCCATTGGCTGAGGCCGTTCCCGCCACGACGCGGGGTTCTCATTGGACAAGCGGCCGCGCGTTTATTGGTCCGCTGAACTGTCGCTCAGCGCCGTCCTGAGAGTCTGATTGGTGGCGGCGAGCAACGGTCCGCCCGCCCACCGCGATGATTGGTGGAGCGGGTGTCAATCACAGCGGGGCCCCGCCCTTCTCCATGCCGGGCTCGCAGGCCCCGCCTCCTACTTCCCAGAGCACCCTTCGGCAGCGCCGCGTCACGCCATTGGTTCATCTACACGTCAATCAATGGTGTCGCGCGTTGATTGGCTTATCGCGTGCCGTCCCGTCCCCTGGTGTCGTCTGATTGGTTGAGAAGCACGTCAATCAAACTCGGCTCCGGCTATGCCGCTCTCTGATTGGCCGATTTGCTCTGGTTTGCTCCGCCCACGGAGTCCCCTCAGACTGGGACCACACTCGCTATGGGGTTACTGAGAGTACTGGGAGGGAACTGGGCCGTTACTGGGCGTTACTGGGGCACTGGGAGGAGGCAACTGGTCGTTACTGGGAGCACTGGGCGCTGTTCCTCCCGCCCGCCAGGGGGCACAATCCCGCACCGCCCCCTCGCCCTCCAACCAATCACCGCTCCCGTTTCATCCCCACCTCCCGCTCCCTCCAATCAGCGCAGCCCTCTCATTCACGCCGACCAATCAGCAATGAGGGGGGCGGAGCTTGGCTTCGACGGCGCCGCCGGGTCCTAAAGCCGCCCCCAAACCTCCAATTTTGGGGGTCCCGTCACAAAAAAAAAAAACAAAATCCCCAAATTCCCCAATTTCAGAGTCCCACAGCGACTCTTGGACTCCATCACTTTATTAAACATCCTTTTGGGGCGATTTTTAACGATTCTGCCCCAAAAAACCAAGTGCGGCCCCGCCACAAATCTCCCCCTCCCTCCCGGGGACCCCCTAAAATAACCCTGGGAAGAGAAAAATTCCCAAAATACTGTAAAATGCGTGGAAAATGGGGATTAAAAAGGCATTTGGGGGGTCCCGGGGGGTTTTGAGGGGGCTACACATCAAGACCCCCCCCCCCCAAAAAACCAATTTAAATCCTTAAAAACCCCCCAAAATGACACAAAACGACGCAAAAAATGGGGAGTAAAGGGAATAAAGGTGACTAAAGAGGAAATTTGGGGTTCGGGGGGTTCAGATTCATCAAGAACCTCCCGAAAACCATTTTTCAATAACGAGAACCAGCCCCCCCAAAAAACCCTTAAAAGTCCCTAAAACGCAGCGAAACGACGCAAAAAATTGGGACTAAAAGCGGAAAAAACAGAAAATAAAAGGAAATTAAGAAAAACAAAGGCAGATTTGGGAGTTTTGGGGTGTTTTTTGGGTGGTTTTTGGGCAGTTTCAGACGATCATCTCCAGCTGCCGGGTGTCCTCAATGACTTGGGTGTTTTGGGTTGATTTTGGCCTATTTTTGGGGTATTTTTGGGTGTTTTTTGGGCAGTTTCAGACGATCATCTCCAGCTGCTGGGTGTCCTCAATGACCTGGGTGTTTTTGGGCTGATTTTGGTCTATTTTTGGGATGGTTTTGGGCAGTTTCAGACGATCATCTCCAGCTGCTGGGTGTCCTCAATGACCTGGGTGTTTTTGGGCTGATTTTGGCCTATTTTTGGGGTGATTTTGGGATGTTTTTGGGCAGTTTCAGACGATCATCTCCAGCTGCCGGGCGTCCTCGATGACCTGGGTGTTTTGGGGGTGATTTTGGCCTATTTTTGGGGTGGTTTTGGGGTATTTTTGGGATGTTTTTGGGCAGTTTCAGACGATCATCTCCAACTGTCTGGCGTATTCGATGACCTGAGTGGCCAATTCCGTGGAGGGGATCGGGGGGTCCTCGGTTTTCTGCTGCCTCCCCCCAAAACTGTAATAGTTGGAGGGGCCCAGCACCCACCCCCGCTGGGGAGAAAGTAAAAAAAAAGGCATTAGAGGGATTTTTGGGGGGATTTAGGGTTTTTTGGGGGGTCTCCTTGGTGAGTTTTGGGGTTTTTGAGAGGGGTCTCTGGGGGAATTTGAAGGTTTTTGGGTTCCTCCAGGAGGGTTTTAGGGGGCTCTCAAAAAGAGTTCAGAATTTTGGGGTCCCCTTGGAGGGTTTTGGGGTCTCCCAGTAGGATTTTGAGGTGGATTTTGGGATCACCACCCCAGGTAAATTTTGGGATCCCCCCGGTCTCTCCTTGGCACAGGGGGAATTCAGGGGGGATTTCAGGGTTTTGAGGGGAATCTTCAAAGTGTTTCCAGGGTTTTGCTCCCCCACAGATGGTTTTTGGGGTCCCTGATTGGTTTTGGGGTCCCCCAAAAGGATTTTAGGGGCATTTTTTGGGGGTCCCTTCTTGGCACAGTCTCTCCTTTCCCAGGGGGAGTTTAGAGGGGATTTCAGGGTTTTGGGGGGGAACCTTCAAAATGTTTCCAGGGTTTTGCTCTCCCCCAGATGGTTTTGGGGATCCCTGATTGGTTTTGGGGTCCCTGATCGTTTTTGGGGTCCCCCAGAAACATTTTGGGGGCATTTTTTGGGGTCTCTTCTTGGCACAGTCGCTCCTTTCCTGGGGGTGTTTCGGGGGGGGATTTGAGGGGTTTGGGCCCCTCCCCGTGAGTTTTGGGGGGTTCTCAGGGTTTCGGGGTCCCCTTGGGGTGTGTTTTGGGGTGTTTTTGGGGGTCCCATCGGTACCTTCTTGGCGTAGTCGGTCATTTTCCGGGGGGAGCTGAAGAAAAGGATCCGCGCGGCCTCGGGGAACAGGATCCGCTCGTAGGCGGATTCGATGCACCCCGCGATCTCATCCCTGGGATTTTGGGGGGGAAAAGGGGCTCAGGGGGGTCCCAAAAAGGTCTGGGGGGGGACTCAGAGGGGATTTAGGGGGATTTGAAGGGGTTTGGGGGAGGTTGAGGGGGTTCAGAGGGGATTTGGGGGGGTTTTGAGGGATCCGCTCGTAGGCGGATTCGATGCACCCGGAGATCTCATCCCTGGGATTTTGGGGGGGGAAAAGGGAGTCAAGGGGGTCCCAAAAGGGTCTGGGGGTGGTCAGAGGCAGATTTTGGGGTGATTTTGGGGGGTTTTGGGGTGCCAGACCTGATGGTGTCGAGCAGGATGTCGATGAAGAAGGTGTAACTCTCCGCTGGGATGTTGCCCTTGGCCAGGAACACTTTGTTGTAGCTCCCTTCCATCAGGTACTGGGGAGAAAATCACCAAAAATGGGGTAAAACACCCGAAATTTGGGTCAACCCCCCCTGAAAATTGGGTCAGACGCCCCAAATATGACACTGGAAATACAAAATGTGGGGTAAAACACCCCAAAAACGGGATAAACCAGCCCAAAAATGGGGTAAACCAGCCCAAAAATGAGATAAAACACCCAAAATTCCAGCTCTGGGTGGAACTGCAGCCCCAAATCCCCCCCCAAAACCCCCCCTAAACTCCTCCAGGAGTCCCTGGAGATCCCCTAGACCTCCTCAGAGCCCTCCAAAATTCCACGGGGATCCCAAAATTCCCAAAGGATCCCCCAAACCTTCATCAAGAGCCTCCCCTGGATGTTGGTGTCCCGGCATCGCTCCAGCTCCGGGTGGAACTCCAGCCCCAAATCCCCCCCAGACCCTCATAAATCCCCCTTAAAGCTCCCCAAAACCATCCTGGGGACCCCCAAGATTCCCAGGGGATCCCCAAAATTCCCAAGGGGTCCCAAAATTCCACGGTGACCCCCAAAATTCCCAAGGGATCCCCCAAACCCGTGTCAAGAGCCTCCCCTGGATCTCGACGTTCTGGCGTCGCTTCAGCTCCGGGTGGAACTCCAGACCCAAACCTCCCCCCCAAATCCCCGTGGAAACCCCCCAAACCTCTCCAGGACCTCCTGGAGACCCCCAAGATTCCCAAGGGATCCCCCAAATTCCATGGTGATCCCCAAAATTCCCAAGGGATCCCCCAAACCTGCATCAAGAACCTTCCCTGGACGTTGAAGTTCCGTTGACGTTCTGGAGTCGCTCCAGCTCTGGACGGAATTCCAGCCCCAAATCCCCCCCCCCACACCCCTCCACGACCCCCTGAAGCCCCCCAAAATTCCCCCTGGGATTGGCAGACCTGCTCCAGGGACACGGGGTGCCGGATGAAGAAGTTCCCCTGGATGTCCAGGGCCAGGAGCCGCTCCAGCTCCGTGTGGAACTCCAGCCCCAAATGCCCCCCTCAAATCCCCCTGGAAACCCCCCAAACCTCTTCAGGGCCCCTTGGAGACCTCCAAAATTCCCAGGGGATCCCAAAAATCCCATGGTGGCCCCCAACATTCCCAAGAGATCCCCCAAACCTGCATCAAGAAGCTCCCTTGGGTGTTGACGTTCTGTTAACATTCTGGAGTCACTCCAGCTCCGGGTGGAACTCCAGCCCCAAATCCCCCCCAAATCCCCCTGGAAACTCCTCAGACCCCTCCAGGACCCCCTGGAGCCCCCCAGAATTCCCAGACCTGCTCCAGGGACACGGGGTGTCGGATGAAGAGGTTCCCCTGGATGTCTGGGGCCGGGAGCCGCTCCAGCTCCGTGTGGAACTCGGCCACGCGGTTCTGGGACAGCAGGAACAGCAGGTTCAGCCCCAGCAGCTGGTGCCTGGAGGCCGACTCTGGAAGCTCTTCCCTGCGGGAATTCCGGGGTCAGGAGCCCGTTGGGAAGGTCTCCAATCCAAGAAAAAGGGTTTTTGGGGGTTTTTTGGGCTCACTTGTAGTC